TTTTTTTTTTTTTTTTTTTTTTTTTTTTTTTTTTTTTTTTTTTTTTTTTGCCGATGTCTCCAGTTATGAATGAATTATGCAGTCTTATATGCATACTTATATCTGTTTTTCTCTCTCTGTTATTTCCTAGGTGAAAGGACATTTGGGGTGTTGACAAAGCTTGATTTGATGGATAAAGGAACAAATGCTTTGGAAGTAAGGACCTAGTTTTTTTTACGTGTTCAACTCTATATTTTAGTGATCACTTGCCCATCGAATGATGCAACTTTATTTATTGGGTTCTAAAATGACGTGATTCATTGAGATTTCTCTATTGACGTTATTTCATAAAAATTTACAATAATATCAAGCACCACATGTGTTGTAGCCAGAAATGTTGTAAATGTAATTAATTCTAGAATGAATTTAAGCCCATTCAAATAGGTTTTAGGAATATACCCCTTCAAAACTGATTCCTAATTTAATGCACGGTAAATTAGACCCAAAACCCACCAAGGCCGAAATCAGTTGAAAACAATTGAAATATTAAACATGGAGTGCAAGGAAGATACCTGGTTACACCATTATGGGAACGAAAAAGCATATTGAGAAAGCAGGGCATTGCGTGAGATGTATATAGTTATGTTACTAACCGGACAGAAAGTTATTTATAATTGATATTTTAAAATGTTCTAAATTGACATGATATATAGCAGGCACGTATTATACGGTAAATATGTGCAGTGTGCTTAAGTTTTTTCTATTTCAATCATTGAAATGATGGTATTGCAATAATCTTATCATTGCATATGCCTTTTTAACCGTACTCTTTAACTAAACTAATTCTAGCTAAATAGGAAAAATGATTTGGGCGTTTTTATTGTTTCGTTTAGGTGATCAATTAATGACGGTTCACAAAACCATCCCTTATAATGTCCACAAACTTTAATCATTTTGCTAATTTCCATCGGCATTATTCTATTCCTTATCCAATAACTATTAATAATATAGCATTGATTTACAAATGCTAGAGGAGATTCTGGTGGATGCCTGATGGCCAGCTTTGAAGATTTTTTCATATCTTCTGTGAAAGTGAACTTGTTGAATAACTAAGTTCTGAGTTCTCTCCACTCCACATCATTTCTATTTAGGAAGAGATTGATATTCTATCAGGATCAGAATACTTCTTAATAATTGATAGATGATGCCACAAACCCTTGGGTTGACCATTCATATGTGTTGATAGATAACTTTGTGATCCTCCATTTCTCTTTTCCTGCATCCCTTATCATTCCTCCATCTGCCTCAAAATTGCTCTTTGAAGGTTCTTGAAGGAAGGTCCTATCGACTTCATCACCCTTGGGTTGGAGTTGTCAATCGTTCTCAAGCTGATATCAATAAGAATATTGACATGATTATTGCTCGGCGAAGGGAACGTGAATTTTTTGCTTCTAGTGTTGACTACAGACACTTGGCTGGCAAAATGGGGTCAGAGCATCTAGCAAAACTCCTCTCAAAGGTTGAGCTGAGATGCATTTACATGCTGACTTGATCATTAATTCATTATTCACTTTATTCCTATCGGCATCATAAATAACAATCTCAAATTGACATGATTTCAGCACCTAGAGTCTCTGATAAAAACACGTATGCCAGGCATTGCATGCTTGATTAACAAAAGCATAGACGAAATTGAAGCTGAGCTTCATCAGCTTGGGAAGCCTGTTGCAATTGATTCTGGGGTAATCTTTTATTTCTTGTCTATAACTCAGATCTAATTTTCTTTGCTATTAATTCATTTGTCTGACACATAACAGGCTCATTTACATACTATCCTAGAGCTTTGCAGTGCTTTCGACCTGGTGTTCAAGGATCATCTCCATGGGGGGTATACAATATATGCTCTCTATTAAATTTTTATCAGCAAAAACGTTTTGATCAAGTTCTGTTTGATAATCAATATGTATGTATTACCAAGACTTTCATTGTTCATTGATGTGCAGGCTTGTCGAGGCAATTATATATGTGTTTTTTGTTGTGCATGTTTCTGTTATCTTCTGCATGACGTACTAAATTTTTATAGCTGTCAGGCTTTTACTTTTCTAGTAAACTTAATATTACTTATGAAAGGTTCACTTTATATTTGATGTTATCTTCTTCAACTACATAGCTGGACTAGGATTATGGTTAGTTGTGTTTTTCTCATAACTATTTTTCTTTAAATCTTAGGCGACCTGGTGGTGATCGGATATGTAGTGTTTTTGATAATCAGCTCCCTCATGCTCTGAGAAGGCTTCCCTTTGATCGCTACCTTTCACTGCAAAATGTGAGGAAAGTGATATCGGAGGCTGATGGATACCAACCTCATCTGATTGCGCCGGAGCATGGTTATCGACGCCTTATTGAAGTTGCAGTCAATTATTTTAGAGGTCCAGCTGAAGCTTCAGTAGATGCTGTAAGTGCCACCTGGTTTTCCAATGCTGTAATTGGAATGATTTTATTTACAAGTAAGGCATGAGAAAATACGTGCTGTTAATTTAATGGTAAACTACGTAATTGACTATCAAATAGTAAAAATATGTTCTTTCATTAATGCCCTATTTGTTGTATTCTATCTGATTATACCTTGTATTTGTGTGCATGTAAAGCAGTGGATTATTTTAAGCGTATCAAACATGCATTGGTTTTTAGTCCTATTCTGAAACTTGTCCCTCTGGTACTTGCAGGTTCATTCCATTTTGAAGGAACTTGTTAGAAGATCACTGGCAGAAACTCAGGTCTAAGTCAACAAATGTTACATTCTGGTAATGCTAAATGAATAACCATAGAATCATCTGAGCTAATGTCTTGAAATGGAACAGGAGCTGAAGCGCTTTCCCACTCTCCAAGCTGAAGTTTCAAGAGCTGCAAACGAAGCGTTAGAGAGATTTCGAGAAGATAGTAAAACGACAACCTTACGATTGGTTGACATGGAATCCTCCTACATAACAGTCGATTTCTTTCGAAGGCTCCTACAGGATGATGAAAAGGGAGGAATCCCACCAGCTGCAGCTTCCATAGATAGGTATGCGGAGACACATTTCCACCAGATAGCATCAAATATTACCTCTTATATCAGGATGGTGTCTGAGACACTGAGGAACAGTATTCCAAAGTCTGTTGTTCATTGTCAAGTCAGGGAGGCAAAGCGATCTATACTAGATTACTTTTATGTGCAATTGGGACAAATGAAGGTATTGAACTTATAGCTGAAAGCCCATTTTTGATCACTTGGAAATACGTTTTATGCTACTGCTTGATTGTTTTGTAGGGTAATCAACTTGCAGCTCTTCTTAATGAAGATCCTGCTTTGAGGGAAAGGCGACAGCAATGTATCAAAAGGCTTGAACTACATAAATCTGCAAGGGATGAGATTGACTCAGTCTCATGGTCCTGATAAGGACAGGTAAAAACTGCACCAGAAAATCTTTCTTAATGCAATGGTAAGGATTATATGATCAAATTTTGGTGTATATGAGTGTAAAGCTTGTTTTTCTTAGATTAGGTCCCTTCCTCTTTCTTGCAAGTCTCCGATTTTTGCTTGATTTGTGCCTTTTGTCCTTCCTTGTTTTGGGTAAGAAAGGAAATGATTAATTCTGGAACTTATGTCACCTCTCCTTCTAGTTGTTCGTGGTGGCTTTGTTTTTTCCTTAGGTTTAGATGGGGACTACTATTAAGATTTACCCAAAGTAGGACTTTAACCCAGCCATTCTAAATTATAGGAACTAAAATATGATTTTAATATGATTTAAAATTCTAACCAATGAGAAGATTTGAATTTCTAATCTTTTGATCAACGGCACACATGCTCTATAACAAGTTGAATTATATATCTACAATAGTTTGCGTTAGAAACCATGACTCTCTACAATTGTATGATATTGTCAACTTTGAGCACAAAGTTCTCATGATTTTGTTTGTTTTTTGTTTCTCCAAAAGACCTCATACCTCATACCAATAGAGATGTATTTCTTACTTATAAATTCATGATCAACTCCTTAATTAGTCAATGTGGGACTTCCTCCCAACAATCCTCCTCTGGAATAAAGTATTTCGTAGAGCCTCTTTAGAGGCATATGGAACCTTCTAACAGTCTCTTTTTAATTGAGGCTCGACTTCTTTTTTTAGAGCCTTTGAGCAAAGTACATTATTTATTCGACACTTGAGTCACTTTGGACTACACCTTTGAGGCTCACAACTTCTTTGTTCGACATTTGAGGATTCTATTCACATGGTTAAGTTAGGGGCATGACTCTGATACTATGCTAGAAACCACGACTCTCCACTGTGATATGATATTATTCACCTTGAACATAAGTTTTCATGATTTTACCTTTGGTTTCCCCGAAAAGCTTCTAATTATGTATTCCTTATTAGATGTATTCCTTATAAATTTGGAACTCTTTCTCTACCATCTTCAAGAGTCAAACATTAGGGATCGGAACCTGCTTGGACAAGGGAGAGGAATTTTCTTTTTGGATTTCATTTTCCACTTAAACAGGTAAGAGACGCAAGGAATCTATGATAGGGTGGAATAAAATACTCCATAATGGATTCCATGTCATGAATGATGATGGATTTCTTCTCTCCAGTCTTAGCCTCCCTTCTATTGCAAATCTCTGTCGGCGCCAAAAAGTTCTTTGCCGTCCTTTTCTAGCCCTTTCTTAATTGTCAACCAGCATAGCATAATTCCATATGCCTAAAAAAAGGTCAATCTTGGCCTTCTTCAAATGCCTATAATTTCTTTACAAGTAGTAGTAGGCTGCTAATTTCTACCCCCATTGAGACCTAGATGTGCTCAAGATTTAATGAATCCCGAAAATTATTGAGGGGTTGTTTCTTCTTTCTTTCATTAACATTTTTTCGTATGCTTGCATTGAGATAGTTGAACATGAACTCTCCGTAAATAAGTCGTTAGGATTGTCGAGTCTAGTCATTCTATAGGCAGTTTGGTTGATGTCCGAGTTTAAGTTTGTTTGATATCAAGTTATAAGACTTATTGGTACTAGAAAGACGGTGTCGGGGCACAAGGGCATATATATTAATAATATCGAACTCGAGTATTGAAAATACAAAGATATTGCATTTGATCTGAATTTGATCTAGTGGAAACCAGACTCTCAATGCAGGATGTGAAAAGTAAGACATTTTACAACACCTTTTCAGTGCAAAACCACCAAACTTTTTTCTGATATTAGGCAAACCAATTCAATTGGGTATTTTCTTACTAAAAAACCCTTTGAAGTTCTTTAGGTGAGTCAATGCCTCCTCCGTGGTTCGGTTCAATTTTGTCTGTCTTGATCAAATAATTGCAATTCTAGGCTATAACTTATCCTAAAGTCTTAACTTCTCACGCTCTTGATATGAACTACTTCGAAGATGTTGCCCAAAAGGATTTTTTTTTTATATATTTTTTATTTTAATGGGAGAAAGGCAGCTGAAAGAGATCGATCTTAATCTTAATTACCTTATATCATAATCAATCCGAATGGCCCAATTATTTGACTTATGTTTAACTTAAATTATGTCTAATACATGCTTAATCTTTCTATTTCTGATGTATTCTTTTACCGGTCATTGTTTTTAATATATTTTTAATATTCACCCTGGTTTAAATTATTAAGACTCGACTTGTTAGATATTACGGAGGTTTAGTAAGCACCATGTTGAATCTCTCTACCATTTCTCTTTTTCACTTTGGCCAATATGAGTTTATTGGGTACTAGCAACGTTATCGAGGAATTTTCCATTTTAGGAAGAGCTTAGTTGCCAATGTTGATTTTGTATAAACTTTTCAAAATTAAGAAATTCATTAGAATGTTGGATGAAAAGTTTGAGACGACAATCTAAAAGGAGTGAGTAGAAGGCTTACTCATTTAAGTTTGAAAGAATCTAACTATTTGTCTAATAAGGTTTTAATAGATTTGAGAGTAATTTTGAAATGTTTAACAAGACCTTGAAACGAGTCTTTTCAAGTGTTAGTAGTGGACGTTTTGTCAATCGGGGAAGGTTTTGGTGACAACACTTGGAGATATCAGAAGAGAAGGCTGACACGATTGCCGGCTTTCTGCATACAATCAATCTACACAGAGTGAATCAATCCATAAGAAACTTAGGATCAATCCATAAGAAACTTAGGACGGTGACAGAATTAGTTTAGGCATTAAACCATATTTAATAAGATTGAAAATACAACAAATGTGTCATAACGTCAACTTTTGTCTTTTAATGATTATAATCACTAACAAAAGAAGTAATGCTTTATGGTGGGAAAGTGGTCTTTGTTTCTTGTCCACCAACACCCAAAAAGGAATTCAAATGGAGCAGTAAAGGGTAAATATGGAAAAAGGCTAAGACCAACACAATTCCACTAACCATTTTTAAATTACATTCAAATTCTTCGGCATAAGAAAATATATATATATATGCCCAACGAAAGCCGAAGGAAATCGGATAGGAATGACCCAAATTTCACTATAAATACTCCAAAAACACTGACCATTTCAATTCATCACCACATCTTCAAATTCCCTTCTCATTCTTAAAGCTTCTGCTACTCATTTCATTATGGCTCTCTCTTCTTTCTCTTCGGTTTCTGTTTTCGTAATAACTTTGCTTCTCATGCAAAGGGTCTCGGAGAGTGCCACGTGTAATGACTGTTTCACTCGTTCTCGAGCTGCCCATTACCCTAATTCAGAGGAACAAGGAACGGACCGTAAGTGCTCATTCTTATTCTCACATTGGTTAATTCAAACTTGTGTCTCTTTGATTTATGAACTTTAAACAAATGTTTCATTTATCAACTTTAAATTTTGTGAATCCTCCAAAATATTGAATAAATCAAAGTCTTATTAAATAAATAAATAAAAACAATTCAGTTTAAACATTAAATATACACAAATTTAAAGATTTTGAAACTAAACTTTTTTGTTGTATATATATATATATTTTTTTTTTTGCAGATGGAGCGTGTGGATATGGAACTTTTGGAGCAACAATCAACGGTGGAGATGTTGCAACTGCCTCTGATCTTTATCGAGATGGCCTCGGTTGTGGAGCTTGCTACCAGGTGACATAAATAAAACTAAATAAATAGATGTTTTATATACTAAAGTTTTGTTTTTATTAAAAAAAATTGAGTTAATGATATAAACTACCTAAACCAACCCGACCCAATATATTTATAGTTGAGTATGATTCATTACTAAATAAATAACTTAAATTTATAATCCAAATGTCTCAATTCAATCAATCATCATAATTTTTCAAATTTTGTACATTGAATATAATATTTTGTTAAAAGAAGTAAAATGCATGAACAGATAAGGTGCGTAGACAGTGAGTTGTGCTCGGAGGAAGGAGCCATGGTGGTGATAACCGATCAAGGGTCAGGCCCAGGCGACTTTATAATGACCCGAAGAGCCTACGTTGGCTTGGCTCAAACCGCTGATGCTGCTGCTTCTTTGTTAGCCCTTGGTGTTATTGACATTGAATACAAAAGGTTAGTTTTTTTTTCTTCGCTATATCGAAATAACAATAATTTTAATTTTCATCTACAAAATTTATCAAAAGAAAATTAAAAAGATACCCGACTTTTCTTCCTGAAAAAATATTTGAAAGAGACTGCCACAACGTGATCAACCGTTTTCATTATTGAATATATGAGAGAAATTACAAAATATCTTGAAATCGAGAATTTTTGAATCCACACCATTTATAGTTATTAGGAGACAATCACGAGCTGTGGGACAATTTTTCCTCTAGTTGATGATTTCTCTCTTTGGGTAAGAAATTAGCTCAAAAGTGAAGAAACTAGTAATTGAAAAAAAAAATATATATATATTTTAAGAAAGTACGCCGATCGACACTTTGAAGAACACTGTTTTCTTCACTCTGTGAGATCCCACATCGATTGGAGAGAAAAACGAGTGTCAGCGAGTACGCTCGGCACCGAAGGGGTGGATTGCGAGATTCCACATCGGTTGGAAATGGGAACAAAACATTCTTTTTAAGAGTGAAAATCTTTTCTTAGGAAACGCATTTTAAAAACATTAAGGGGAAGTTTGAAAGGAAACGTCCAAAGAGGACAATATTTGCTAGCTGCGGGCTTGAGCTGTTACATACTAAGCCTCGTTACTTTTTTTTTTTGCACCTTTTTTTGAAGCCCGAACAAAAAGATTTTTTTCTTATGTAATTCTTGAATCTAAAATATTTCAAGGAAATTTTAAGATATTTCTAGATTTTTTTAGGAGATATTTATTCACAAATCTTCTACATAAGTCTGGAGAAGTTTAATATATACATTTAAGCACCGTAAATACTCATAAAAAGTTTCTCGAGAATTAGGCTTACGGTTTATTCTAACCTTATTTCCTGGTTATTGAACAGAGTCGCTTGTAGCTATCCATACAAAAACATAACAATTAAGATCGATGAGGCAAGCAACGCTCCTCATTACTTGGCCTTTGTCATAAGGTTTCAACAAGGCAAAAATGATATCACCGCGGTTCAACTTTGCGAGGTAACCATTTAAACGCTATCAAATAGAGCCTAAACTATTTAATTTCCAACTCCATAAGAGTAAACTTATTAAAATCATGAGCTATCGGTAAAATTTACAGACGAAGAACTTCGTGTGCAAGCTATTAGATCGGAGCTACGGTACCGTGTGGACGACAGCATCGCCGCCGAGGGGACCGTTGTCGTTACGAATGTTGCTAACGAACGAGGACGGAGACGAGCAGTGGATCGTCCCCATTAATGATATTCCTCGTGACTGGAAGGCTGGAGATATCTATGACACTGGAGTTCAAGTTAATTAAATCATCATCTAAATATTTCTTATTATTTTCTTCATAGTTTCATTTTTAAAATTTCTAAAAGTTATTTTGATTGGAAATAAATATCCCACAGGGATTTTTTTTTTTTTTTTTTTTTTCTGGGTTTGAATCATGTATAATCATAGTATTATTTGTTTGGGTGTATGTAATTTTTGAAATGTATAATAAATTAAATATTTGCGTCGTTTTTATTATTTTTATTTTATTCTCCAATCCCATTATATTCATTTATTCACCACGTATGTAAAATTGGTAATATTATTTTTGTTATCGTTTTATTCAATTATACATATAAACACGAGATAAAAGGAAGACTAAAGATACCCATTTAACTTTTGTGACTGGAGCTTACCGTGTTTAAACCCGGATGTGAAAGAGAGTTATATGAATTTTTTTTTATTAACTTAAACGAGATTGAGAATTAAGATTATATATATATTTATTTAGTAAATAAATAAACACTTTTTTTTAAAAAATGTTTTTTTTTAATATATGTCATAGGTCTCTGGAGCCAAAAATTAAAGTTATAGGAATTTATTAGATATTTTTAAAGTTTCGAAAATAGTTAACACAAAATTGAAAATTTAGAAAATTATTAGACACTTAAAGTTCATAGACCCAATAGATATGGACGTTGATTATGTTTAGAGGCTAAATTTGTAATTTTACCAATTGGTTAATTTGACTTTTTTTCTTACAAAAAAAAATTAAACTAAAAATAACCGTATGTATGAGATATCAGATTGTAGAGAAGAACAAAATATTTATTATAAAGATGTAGAAACCGCATATGTGTAAACTGTGATGCTCATGCTTACATTTAATGGGTCAAAATGGACAATATTTTATAGTGGTAGGCGTAGAGCATTACAAATGGTACCATTAGAAGAATCTAATTAATATTGGGGTCTTGATTTCAAAAAAAAAAAAAAAAAATTAATTTACAGTAAATTAAAATAAATGGGAAAATAACAAACTTTCATCATTTTTTAGTTTGACTTTGACTTTGGTTTTGTATTTTAGATATTAATTATATTAATTACTTAATTAAGACTAAAGGCTGCGATGAAAGTTGACCCGGTAGAAAATAGAATAGGACAAGGTAATTTATCAACTAACCAATTTTATTATTTAAAATAATGTTAGAAAAAAATGTAAAATATAATTATTATTTTTATTGAAAAAAAGAATTTCGTATTTCAATTGGACCCTTTTTATCCCCTAAAATGCATACTTTACATCAGATAAGTTAAATATCTTTTGATTAACTTATTTTTATGCTTCATAACATGCTTTATATTTAATTTAATTTATTTTAAAATTCATTTCATTTTAATTTTAATACTTTTTAGTTAGCAAGATAAAATAATAAAATTATTTTCCTTTAAAAAAAGTTAATTTTATTGAAATTAAATATGCACACTTAATTTTAAAATATAAATATAGAATAAATAATATAATATTTCAACCTAGTTAATTTCACCAAGCATATTCGAGGGTAAAAATATAATTGAGTCATTTTCCTATTTCCCATTTCCGGTTTTTTAATTAAATAAAATTATGTTTTTTAAATTTAAAAAAAAAAAAAAATCACCTGTAATGTAGGAAACTACGTCGTTTTGTAAAAGCGCAGACCTATATAAATTCGAATGGTCAAACATTCTCCTCATTGGCTCTGAACCGAAAATGGAGTTTCTAGACGAGGATGCGAAACCCAGGTTCCTTTTCCAATCTCGCGCCATTCCATCTTCGGCGACTGAGCTCCAAAACGAATCACAATCCAGCAAGATCTTTGTCTCAATCACTGTCGTAATATCTTCCGTTTTTCTTATTCTCTCAATTTTATTCGTCCAATTCGAACCATTCAGATCTCTTCTCATCTGGATTTCTCTCTCGCTTCTTCTCGGTCCATTTGCCCCAATTTCCCTCACCGGCGGCGATATTCGAGTCGGTCGTGGTCCGATTGTTGAAATTCCCGACGAAGAACACGAACTAGAAGACGATGCGAAGAAGAAACCCGTTCAAAAGCGCTCAAAACTGCGTAGATCCGAGGAAATCACCGCTGGTGCAATCGAAATCGCTGAAAAAGTCACTGCAACAATGGAGAACAGAAATGGAGCTCTTCAGAGTCGCAATAGTGGAGTAAATTTTGCGATTGAGGAGGCGGAATGGGACGAAGGGGAATTAGGGCTTTTAAAGAAGCAATTGGCGAAGCATCCTGTGGGGAAGCCGAGGCGGTGGGAGATAATTTCAGAGGCGTTTGGCGGAAGGCATAAAGTGGAAAGTGTGATTAAGATGGCTAAGGAAATGGGAGAGAAGAAATTAGGCGATGAGGATTCTTATGCTCAATTTCTGAAGAACAGGAAGCCGATGGATAAGAGAATTGAAAATGTCGATGAAGAACGGGCCGGTGGCGCCGTAGAAGCTCAGGTCGCCGGTTGGAGTTCTGGTGAAGACATTGCATTACTTAATGCTTTGAAGACGTTTCCAAAGGATGTGCCTATGAGATGGGAGAAAATCACAGCTGCTCTTCCGGGGAAGACGAAGGCAGCTTGTATGAAGAGAGTTGGGGAATTGAAGAGGGATTTTCGAAATTCCAAAGCTACTAATGACATCTGAGAAAACAGAAATGGAGTCTTGAGATCAAGTTCTTCAACTTTTGTGTCAAAGAGGTAATAGAAAATCTTGAAATGTCTTATTTTTTCATCATTTTTCCCCTGTTACACATTTTATTGGTTATATCAAGTTTCCAAGTTACCATTTCATTTCTCCACTGGTTAATTGTGATACATCTGCTAGCATTTTGATGCAATGAAATTCCATACTCCTTTTTTCTTTAGAATATTGCATCATGAATACTACTGGTTAAAGGTTCATGACAAATTGAGGGTAGTTTCTGTGAGATCCCACGTCGGTGGGAGAGGGGAATGAAACATTCCTTGTAAAGGTGTGAAAACCTCTTCTTGATAGACAATCTTTTAAAATTGTGAGGTGGACAATGATACATAGTGGGTCATAGCGGAAAATATCTGATAGCGGTTACAAATAGTATTAGAGTCAGACACTAGGTGGTGTGTCAGCGAGGACGTGGTCCCTAAGGGGGTGGATTGTGAGATCCCACATCGGTCGGAGAGAGGAATGAATCATTCTTTATAAGAGTGTGGAAACTTGTCTACATTTTAAAACAAATCGTGAGGCTAACCGTGATAAATAGCGGGTTAAAGCGGGCATTATTTGCTAGCATAGGCAATTCATTGCCGTAATTTCGAAGGGTAGAGAATAGAGGTTTGAGCCCAAGATTGATCCCACCATCGAGGAGGGATATATCCTTAACTATGGAGGTTGGCAGAAAAATTTCTAGTACTGGAACAATACAAACTACTCTCGTTTAGCATTTGATATGAGATGATATATGATTTTGTTGATTATGTTTTGCTTTTCTCCCCCATCCTCCGACTTGGGATCTCACAATCCACTTCCCTTTAGTGCCTAGCGTCCTCGCTGACACTCGTTCCCTTCTCCAATCGACGTGGGACACCCCAATCCACCCCCTTTTGGGGGCACAACTTCCCTGCTCGCACACTACTTCGTGTCCACCCCCTTCGGGGCTTCAGCTTATCACATCTATTGGTGTCTAGCTCTGATACCATCTATAACAGCTTAAGTCCATCGCTAGTAGATATTGTCCTCTTTGGTCTATCACTTTCGGACTTCCCCGAAAGGTTTGTAGGGAGAGGCTTCCTCACCATTATAGAAAAATATTTCGTTCTCCTCTCCAACCGACATGGGATCTCATACCATCACTCCGCACTAAAATTTCTATTTCATGCAATAGTTAAAATTATGGAGACATTAGTTTAGTTCCTTGTTTAAATCTGGTTGCAACCATTAGGTTAACAACGATGATCTTGGGATTTGATTGTGTTTGGATGATGGCTGGTGAAGAATAGAGATGAAATTTTGGAGTATAGATTACAGAATATCTGGTTATTTATGCCATTAGGTTTAGCTGGAAATGTTTGTGATTGTTTAGGAAACAATTCATGACTCTACAAAAGGGTGAATAAAGTAAACTAGATTTGATTGAATCGAATTATTCCGTCTCGTTGATTTTAGCAGCAACGACGTTCCAGCTCGATGTCATTGAGGTTTCTTTAAGCCTTTTTACATAAGATTGATCATCAATCCTCAGGGCCTTGTTTAGGGATTGCAGTTGATTACTACTACTATTCTTCATATAGGGTTTCGATCTCTGGCGTTGAAAACCTGTGTTTGCAGGTTCTTCAAATTTATCAAATGTTCGATAAATTTAGTCTCTCAATTTTCGAGCGTGTTTAAATGAAACCTTGACTTGTGTAGCATCAGGTTTCGAAGCTTACAGCTTCGATTTCCAGAGCGTGCCCCCTCTTGGCCACTAACCTTACAAGGAATGAAAATATTAGAGCATGCCCCCTCTAGTTCGGTTTTGACCCAACTCAAATCGAACCGGGTTCTTTATTATCGGTTCAAGCTGGTTTACAGAGAATTCAACTTGATCCAACTTGTTTTATAGTTTTTTTTTTCTTGTCTTTTATCTATATTTTACAAATAAATTTTATCAAAGTCTAAGTCTGAGTTCTTTTAAACTAAAATAATTAGTTTTTAACAACTTGTTTTGTTTTTAAAATTGGATGAAAAAGTCAAATATTTTCACAATGAAAATTATTATGAGAAAATTAATACAATTTACTACCATTCAAAATTAGACTAAAATTAATATTTAAAAAATAAGATCAATAGTAACGATATAGATGGTCTTTAGATTAGGCAAATTTTTCATTTATGTCTGTCCAAGCCATTTTGGCATTGACATGTTTTATTTTCACTCGCATACTTAATACGAAAATTTCAAAGAGATTACTCAATATAGAATTGCACAAAGCAAAGTGGTCACAGGTCCATTCATCCTATCCTCGAGAGATTCTCGGTCCATTCATATAAAATTTATCGTTTACTCAGGTGTTTACTCAGGTGTCACAGGTCCATTTATCCTATCCTCTAGAAAATTTTAAAACAACTATCAAGCATAAGCTCTTCTCTCATGGCTTTGCTTTAGGTTTTTCCAAAAGATCTTGTACTATAGGCATAAGCTCTCATTACTTTGCTCTCGATTTTCCTCGAATGTCTTGTACCAATGTAGATAATATTGGTCATAAACCCATGATCTAATCATTCCCCAAATTAGTCTATCGGTGTTCATTCCCAATAATCCTCAACAAAATTTTAAAAATATTTATCTTAAATAAATTGATGAAAGGTATATAAACCAAATAAAGTTTAGGAGGCGGTTGGAATGTTTTGGATAAAAGACAGCGCCATCGAAAATCAGACGTAACGCAACGTTTCGGCGTCACCTCCAAAGCCTTTATCCGTTTCTACACTATTCCAGTTCCAAAACCCTAACCCACTTTTCACTCTCATCTCCGGCGAAATCTTCCGATGGGTCTTCTCTCATGGTGGAAAGGTGGTTCTGCGCCATCGGAATCCAATTCGAAGTCGCAGCCTCCTCCGAAGAATGTCTCTCAGCCGGCCGAAGTCCCTGGCCTTAACGGTGCCGTCGAAGTCCCCCGACCGGCCGCCACTGTGACCGTCTTCGAGTTCGGCTCCGTTTCCGCTTCCTCCGATAGTGTCACCCTAACCGGTTACTGCCCCGTCTCCGACGACCTCGAGCCCTGCCGCTGGGAGATTCTGCCTGCAAGCGGCTCCGACGCGCCTCTTTTTCGCGTCGTCTTCTGAGGTGCTTGAGATGTAAGTAAAATTAAAATCTATAAACGATTATTCTAGTAGAACCAAGCCTGCTAATTACGATTTTTTGTTTGGGAGATTTGATTTTTTCTTTCGCATATCGTGATTTATCTTCGGAAATTGTTGAATCTTCTTCTTCGTGGATTGGTTTTGCATTTGCTTCTTCTCACAATCTGTGCAATCCGTAATCATGTATTTGATCATACCAAAAGAAAATTACTGCATTTGCATTTCCATTTCCATTTCCATTTTTGTTCCAAGTCGAAATTGTTTAGTTCATCTTCACTTCTGAATCTATGCAGGTTAGGGTTTAGAAATTATCTTAATAAAATCACTTTTATCCATCCAAAATCACTCCAAAAACATGTTTAAAATTGCTATCAAACATGTTTGTTTTTATGTTCGAGAAAATTTGTTTCAAAATCAATACCATTTTGTGCTTTGATTTGTTTTGGCCAAGTTGTGAATGTACTTGAAATTACAGGTTTATGGAAGCCACAAGAATATGCCTCAATGATTAGTTGGTTTTGTTGGCCAGAAGCTTCTTGGAATCATTCAAGAGAGTTGCAGCAATTTGCGGCGTTTCACATAATGTATGAATAATTTGAATACTTCTGCATATTAAATATTTAAAAAAAAAAAAGTATGCAATTTATTTAGAATTGATGAAATTTCAATCTTAGCTTGCTAATTTCATAATGTCTGCTTTTCTAATGATTTCTTTTGTTCCTTTACTCATTCTGTGAGAAGAATCTTCCATTTTTCTTTCATGATATCATGGTAGTGAAGTTCATTGTTGTTGTTGATCATCTGAGGTTTAGAATTCAAGAACAGTCAATATGATTCTAGACATCCCTGTTTTATTTCAATCTAGAAAGGATACTACAAAAGGGTGAGGAAGAGGAATTCTCATGCAAAGCCTCGATGTGCGGAAAAGCACATGTTTGGGAGTAATTTTGAACGATTAAAGTATGTTTAGGAGTCATTTTGAATGATTAAAGAATGTTCGGGAATGATTTTAAACGTGAGGAAGTATACAGAAGGGGCAAATGAAGAGAGTTGGTAGATTTTCTGATGGATACCCGACTTGGATCCATGAATCTCGTCTCCTTTAAAGATAGTTATGTTAACCATATCGATTTGTTATGAGAATTGGTTTGTTCTTATCCACATGCTTTACTAATAAACAACAATATACCCTAGAATCTTTAGTCTCCCGTGCTCGTGAGGAGACACTAAACCAAGCTTCCTCCCAAACCTCCTCAATGAACTGTCCGGCTTACAACATATAAAATCATTATCGGATGGATACCAGACTTGAATCCATGGATCTCGTCTTCTTTAAACATAGTTATGTTAACCATATCGATTTTTTTATGAGAGTTGGTTTTTCCTTATACAACAATATACCCTAGAATCTTTAGTCTCTCGTGCCCGTGAGGAGACACTAAACCTAGCTTCCTCCCGAACTTTCTCAATGAAAACTGTCTGTCTTACAACATATAAAATCATTATCAGATGGATACTAGACTCGAATCCATAGATCTTGTCTTCTTTAAACAGAGTTATGTTAACCATATCAATTTGTTATGAGAGTTGGTTTTTCCTTATCCACATGCTTTATCCGTGAACAACAATATACCCTAGAATCTTTAGTCTCCCGTACCTCCTTAATGAGAACCGTCTGTCTTACAGCATATAAAATCATTATCAACTGAGATGGTTACATGGAACGAAATTGATTCGACTTTTAGGTTCAACCCTCGACTTGATTGGGCTTTTGGGCTCAACCTTTGAATTTGGGCTTTACTAGCTATGGGCCAAATTATATGAGTTTGATAACCTGTTATTATACCTGTTATTATCAAATTATATGACGTAAGGTATTACTATAAAAAAGTGGAAGAAGTCGAGCGACAAGAAAAATTCTTGCTGCTACCATCTTAGCAGCATGTATAAAAGCTGAAAGGGGTAGGATCCTCTATAGCATCAGGTAAAACCATACATGAAGAGAAAATACTGCAAATAATAGTACGGCACACGAAGTAACAAATAATAAATTAACCTCATTCTTATAAATCAAATATTTTAAATAAATTCCAAAATACAAATAATAAATTAAACTTATTTTTATAAATCAAATATTTTAAATAAATTCCAAAATTCAAAACTCAACTGACCTACGAGTTATCATTTTGCATCTTCAAATTTGATTTGAAAATGGTGATTTATATAATTTTTTCATTAAATAAATAATAACGTGCTAATTTGTGATTGGTCAAAATAAAATTTAAAATAGGTTTGATTTTTTTTTTTTTTTTTATTATAAAGAATTAGAAAAAAGGTTGGTTTGGTGGGGGGTAAAATTTGAATGTTTGAGCATTTTGGCACGTGTAGAAGAGTATGAGAAGAAAAATGACAAATAATTTCATAACCGGACACTGTGGAAAAAGATATGCTTACCTGCCTGTGATCTTTTCTGGGCCCCATTTCTTCCTCCTCGTGGCAGACAATTTTACGGAGCGCCACTCTGGACCAATAGAAACAAGCCTTCATGTACCTCACGGTCATCATATCCCAATAATGCCCCTTCTTTTTTTTCTTTTTTTAAATTGGATCAATGTATAATTTTCCACTTTAAAAAAGTATTTCGAATTTTTTTTAATATTATTAATTTTAATAATATTATTAATTGAAAATGGAAAAATGTTGCCTTTTTATTTTATTTAAAAAATTTTCCCAAGTTTAATCAAAGCTTTTTTTCCTAATAAATACCATATTTACAACCAAACTTACTAGCATACTCGAGACTAATCAGTTTATACTCGAGTTTTAGAAATTCAAATAATTTTACTAATAATCATTTTCAAATACATACGAGCACATACTCGATATACACTCTTTTCATCATAACCGTCAAAATTTGCTAAAAGTCAATTCCCCACCATCAAACTATACCACTTTTCATTAATTTCAATGAGTGCATTTACTTTAATGATGAGTACATTTTGGAGCGTTCTTAGCAAACCATACAATCTTAACTTAATTTTAATCACTAATTTTTAAAATCATGTCGGGAATTGTCACATATTTATAATCTTTTAACTATTTCGACTCTCCAATCATAAAATGTAAGGGTGTCTGTCTATCTCAAATAATTTTTTTTTTTTTTGAAATTTGAATCGAGCATTTTTTATTTTATATTTATTATTATTATTATTATTATTTATTAATATTTCTAATTTCCCAAATTCAATGTCACCCTTATAATTGAAGGGACAATTTAAGTTTTTTTTTTTTTTCAGGAAAATAAATAAATATATTATTAAATACGAAAATGGTAAGATTTATAACATTCCTCTTTTTTTAAATATTATATTATATTGGAATGTTTTGAGAGCTTTAAAGGTCCACATGATGCCACGTGGAAAGACATTTGCACTTTTTGTTTCTCACTGTAGGACCCACATCAACAACTCTTTTTTTATTATTATTATTATTATTTTATTTTCTAATTATGGTATTTTTGCAATAAAAAAATATTTTAAAAATTTTTCTAATTAATATTTATTTAATAGTGATTTAATATAGTATTAAAGGCACTACAATGGCTAATAGAGGATGTCCCTTATTACACAATGGGTTAATGAAGCCTCGAGTCGACTAATTGGTCAACAGACATGCCTCGGCATCTCTTCCGTTGACACTCCAAACCCTCTACCCATGTTCTAAAGGCGTGTAAAGTATGCAATTTTTCTGTGTTCGGGTCAACACCACTTTACCTAGGTACTAACGTAAACAATGGATCAAGTTGAACAAAGCACCATACCATGTGTGATTCATTTTTGTAAGTGGCTTAGCTAACACACGTGACATGACCCATATGAAGCAAACTGACGAATTTTTCGTTCCTACAACATGAGAATACTCTAGAACTATTGATAGAAATGAACGATTTACTCTGTCGTGGAAGCAATAAATCATATTTGATTTATATTGAGTTAAACTAATATATAAAATTAATCGTGTAGTTATTAATAAATTTATATTAAAAGACGACGACAACAACGTGTTAGCATTAAGGAGATGTTTAACGTGAGTAAGTCAACAAAAACCTAAGATTATAGGGCGTTGAAGGAGAGGATTCGAGCTTGAAACTGAAGAAATATGTTATGTTGAACCCGAGAATTTAAGTTTCCATATCTTGATCCATAGTTAGAGATGTCCTTGGAGCGGGGTGAAGACGGGATAACCTTCATTATCCCTATTTTTGCTCCCTTTTCATTCTCCATTCCCGTGAAACTTTTAGTTTATTTTTGGGACCGGGATTCCCGAGGAGAATCTATTTTATAATATAATTTGTATTAAAAAATGTAAATACAAATCTAATATAATATAATGTTCTACCAACCTAATTTCTAAAACTCAAAATTTAACATTATAATAATCTTCTATCTCTCGTTTAAATGGAAATTTCCCTATCTCATTTGGAGTAGGTCCCCACGAGACCCCAGTCCCATGGGATAAATGGACATCTCAATCCGTAGGGTATGGAAATTGCTCCAACTTAATTTTATAGATTTGTTAGGAGTAAATCTACGCTTTTCCATAAGAAGCGAAATAGCTGATAATGAGCGTAGGAGGGAGTTCAATAAAGAAACGAAAAGGTAAAAAGCAACCCATAAATTGTAACTTTGAGCTTTAGTATTGTGATATATGTTGTATAATAGAGATCGAAATTAAGCTCATTGGATTCACAGACTCTAGTTCGAGGTGTCACGTAAGGGATATGGAAGGAAATAACAAAAAATATTTGAAATTTTCATGGAGACTCGAGGAAGAAGATGCCTGAGGCGTGTGGACTTCATACGCTCGTGAAACTGAGAGTATCCGAGAAGAGACAAGTGCACGGTAGCACGTGCAGCCACATGGTGAGCTCTCGTTTATCCTGTTAGTCTCCTTTTGACCTATTCTATCACATGCATGCACACACATTTTGTTTATCGTCTATCGGCATCTCATAGATTATCTCCAAATTTCTTAACCATGTTTTGAAAGGTATTTTTAATTTTTTTTTTAAAATTAAAAAATTTGTTGAAATCGTAAAAATGACTATTTTGCCCTTATTGATTCTCTTAAATTACAAATATTATTTTATTTTGTCCCTTCAAGACAACTCTTGTGCTCGACAGAGTACTATTTCTTTAGATGGATAAGATAACTCCTTGATTGATGTACAAGTCAAACATTTTTAGATTCTTTTTCGTTATTCATTTAAGTCCATGTGGGTCCACACTCACATATGGTGGTCGTGTATAGAGAAATACTATACATCCAATTTGTCCGGACTAGATCACCTAAGAAAATACAGATTTAAATGATAGGTCTGCATATGTTTGCATTCCTAGACTCCAATAGTTCACTTCCTGAGTACGACGCAGTATCACGTTAAGGACCATGAAACCTACGTTAGAGTAGTTGCATTTTATTTTTGTAGATCTTAGGTTAGTCTGGGACATCGATTTTAGTCTTTTCTTCGGTGTTATTTTATTATGCATCAAATATTTTTCGTTATTTGATTTTAAGACTCTTATGCAAACGTATAAATTCATATCATCGTGTTATGATAACGACTCTATTTTAATAGAAAGTTAGGGTCGTTAAAGTTTATAAATTTGAAATATATATTTTTTGTGGGCATATGTTTTTTTAAATTTTTTTCAAAAATTATATAAACAATCGAGATATATTATAAAATTATGAAAGGATG